GACTTCCTGTGAACCACATATAATTATGTTTCTCTACAATACAAGTTTCAAGGGAGATGAACTCAAGCAAAGGGCTATTAATTTGGTTTTTTACAACAAAGTTAGTTAGCTCAACTCCAAAAAACGGCATTCATAAGATTTTCTCTATACAATAATGTTTCTATCAAACATAATCATACTTTAACTAACAATTTAAGCTTGGCGTTTGGGCCAAGTGCATCCTCTATGCAACGCAGTTCTGGTTTCATCGTTTTAACAATTTCACCGCTTCTCCGAAGAAAGTTGTTATATTTTTTTCTTTTTATTTAATTTATTTTACGGTTTTGTAATACTCCGCGAGATTAACTTCTCTGTTACCTGTAATAAAAACATATTATATATTAATTCTAATTCGTAAGATTAACTTTTAACGCTAGCACAAACACTGAAGTGAGAAAAACGAGCATAAATCAATGAATACCTCTTTTGAACTTTAGAATCTCTATAAGCAGCCTTTTTTCTGCACACAAGTGTGAATACTTTTTGATTGTAGACCCTGCAAATTTAATTTCTTGAGCTACGTTATTTCTTATTATAATTTTTTATGTTTATTTTAATACTTTTTTGCTGCTGTCAAATTGCTAATTCTAAAAACAATAATTATTTACGGTTTAAATATGCAAATAACATATTGCAAAGCTGATTGTGAACTCGACGAACGTAAGTTCAGTATAGGCGAAAGTTTTCAGATTGCAAGCCAGTGCGCTACCTACCATTGTGATGCTGAAAGCAGTATATCTGCGATAAGTTTAGAAAGATTGATAAGTTCGTACTTTCTGCGGTTTTATTTCTTTTATTTTCGCCCCCCAATAGCTGCGCGGAGTCTTTGTCGACAGAGCATTCCAGAGGATAATTCGAAGCCATATCCCCATTGCTGTAAACGAAATGAGTGTGGGACGTGATTGAGTTAGGCTAATAGCAAAGACGCTTTAGTTTCTATTGATACGGAGTTAGTATTAGAAAATACGTTAAAAACTGTATTTAATGTATTGGTTTTTATTTGAATAATATGTTATAGCCATTAAAAGGCCGTTGATAAATAAATAATAATAATAATAATAACAATAGATGTGTTTGCACATCGTAGTATCAATACAACCCCATGAGAAACACTTTCAATCAATTTTCTCAGTGTTGCTCTGTTGTCAGAGTTAAGGCATCCAAACACCTATGCGATTCTGTCGCAACGAATCCGCCCCGTTTTTGATTCTACAGACGTTACTGCCTCGAAAACGCAAGTATGCACACATCTGTGCGATTTTATCGCAGCAAAAACTGTCAAACTTATACGGCTGTGTAAAATGACGTTGAGCAATACCACCAGCTCCGTCAGAATTGGGAAAGACCTCTCCGAGCCGTTCGCCACAATACGGGGTTTCAGACAGGGCGACTCCCTTTCATGTTGGAGAAGATAATAAGAGCTGCAGAACTGAACCGCTCAGGAACAATTTACTACAAGAGCGTGCAATTGCTGGCTTATGCCGATGACATCGACATCATCGGTAACAAAAACCGCGAAGTCTGTTCTGCCTTTTCCAAATTGGATAGGGAAGCAAAGCGAATGGGTCTGGTGGTAAACGAGGACAAGACGAAGTATCTCCTGTCATCAAACAAACAGTCAGCACATTCACGCCTTGGCACCCACGTCACTGTTGACAGTTACACTTTCGAGAAAGTAGAGAATTTCGTTTACTTGGGAACCAGCATTAACACCGATAATAATGTCAGCATTGAAATCCAACGCAGAATCACTCTTGCCAACAAGTGCTACTTTGGACTGAGTAGGCAATTCAGGAGTAAAGTCCTCTCTCGACGTACGAAAACCACGCTCTATAAGTCACTCATCATGCCCGTGCTGGTATATGGCGCTGAAGCATGGACAATGACAACATCCGATGGACAACAGACGATGGAACGATGAGCTGTATGAGCTTTACAACGATATGGACATAGTGCTGCGAATTAAAATACAGCGGCTCCGCTGGCTTGGTCATGTCGTTCGAATGGACACCGACGCTCCAGCTCTGAAAGTATTCAACTCGGAACCCGCTGGTGGTAGCAGAGGAAGAGGGAGGCCCCCACTGCGATGGAAAGATCAGGTGGAGAAGGACTTGGCTTCACTTGGCGTTTCCAATTGGCGTCAGTTGGCACAGAGGAGAAACGACTGGCGTGCTTGGCTGAACTCGGCCAAAATCGCTTAGGCGGTTACAACAAAAAAAAAGTATTTTTCAACAAAAATAAAATTCTTATCTTTTCTAAATCAAATATGTATGTATGTTTTGTTTAAAAAAAAATTTAAAAAAAAAAATATTCAAAATCAAGTTTTTATGTTTCAATTTGTTTTGTGTCTGATTCATGATATTAACGCGTACGGATAACTTATTTTTTGATAATTTTAAATTTTTAATATTTTTCAGAATGGCTGCATTTCTTTATACATTCCGGACAATCCCATTTCACAGCCGGAATAAACAGAATGCGTTTGAAATATACGTCAACATATCATCAGGAACGTTCTGAAGAATAAATAAACAAAAAAGTTTATTCCAAACGTTCAGAATGAATGAAGAAATGCAGCCAATATAAATTTTTTGAACGTTGGCGTGTCAAATGAAAGCTTTTGGGTCTTTCTGATTGGTCGGAGCAGAAAGCTTTCTGATACAACTCTGCGCTGAAATGGTTTTCAAACGAGTGAAATGATTTAACTGGTTAAATTTTCCAACAACAATTGCATGCGATTTAACTTGTTTATGAACATGTTTTGTTCATTTAACTAGTTTCAAGCCCATTTAACATGTTTAGCTCGTCAATTTGAACGTAGTATTACGTTCAATTTTGTTTTAATATTGTAAAATCCTTCTATTGACCTTTTTCGTTCTCAAGTTCTCAAAACGCGGCAGTCTGCGATTTCCGCACGACCAACAAAAGAACTGTGAATGTTCGAATAAATCGCTGCAGCAAAATCGACAAGAGTGTGGTTTGCCATTTAAAACTATGGTCGGCATTGTTGTAATTTTCGTCGGAACAGATTCACACCGACAGAATCGCCTAGGTGTTTGGATACCTTTATTGCTTTGCTACAGAATGCGAAATATAGAAACTCCTTAACATTTCTTCTCTGGTGGCGTTGTTATTCTTGCTACCGAACCCGGCTGCATTTTTTCAGATTTTTACGGGTCGACCTAGATATGTAGAATTGTTCACCGTTAAATAGTCCTGATTTTTTGTTAGTAAAATATGTTTTCCTTCTATCATATCGACGCCTAAAAACCTTACTATGTTAAGTCTGACTAAGTCAGGTATGGTTTGGAGGCGTCAATATTTTACTTGCGCTTTTGTTAAAGAAATATTTGATTTTTTCACTTCTTTTATTTCATTTTGATTTTTTTTTTCAAAATACTAATACATAGTATGTACTTATTTATATTTATAAGCCGTAATAAACTCGTATACTTCGAATAAACATATGTACACACCATATATTTCGCCAAATAATTGTATGTTATATGTACTAAGGCTTTCACTTATCAATACTTATTTTTATCTAATACACACTAAAATATTTTTTTCACTAAAATGCATGGGTACTGTATTCCCTAACGAATTACATATGAATGTAGTCTAATTTGTGTTTCTCTTAATTGTTTTATATGTATATGGGGAATTATTTTTCAAACCCTCAACCACCCGCCACCTGCCTTTTTTTCTTGTGAAAGAAAAAATGTTTTGAGCACATGAAAAAAATTTGCATTTTTGATGTCGTCTGGTCTTTTGTGAAAAATTAGTGGTTTAACCTCCAAATAACTGTCTAAAGAGAAGCTTTTCACTAAAAAAAAATTCGGGTATTTCGTCAAAAGTGGTCGAAAAAAAATTAATAAAAAATATTCAAATAAATTCGACTAAATCACTGTTTTGGGGGCTCTATGGTTCATTGGACAAGAATCCGATGTCGGTTTTCAAACTCAAGATAGCGTATCCAAGATGATGGACAGTATTTTTGTAACTTTTTACCGATTTCTACAAAATTATGTGTAGGGGTCATCTTGAAAAAACTGACATCAAATTCTTGTCCAGCAAGAACTCCCAAAATAATGAACTAGTCGAATTTATTTGAATATTTTCGACCATTTTTTACGAAATATCTGCATGTTTTGGTTTGAGGTTAGACAACTTATTTTCCACAAAAGACCAGACGGCATCAAAAACTACACTTCAAATGACAAATTGTTTAATGTGCTCAAAAAAAATGTTTCCCCACGAGAAAATGGGCAGGTGAGGCGGTTGATCTCGAAAAGAGTTCCCCATATGTATGTAATTTATTTTACTTTTGCGCCATACAGCGGAAATGGTTATAGCTGATTTAACTTTTTTTTTTCTTTACACCCTGTACTTTTGCACGATACTTCTTCCGCAACCGCTGCAATGGTTTCTTCACAAATTTTGCTATGGAATTGCCTACGTTATGTTGAGGTAATAACTTATCTTTGCTTTGCACTTTGTTAACTCACGATATTTAACGATTTAATGCAAACGCTTACCAACAAATCTAGTTCTAAAAATTTTAGTACCACAATGTGTGAATCGAGTTGTGTGTGACACAGCTGATCGTTAGCGATCGTTATTTTGCGTAGTATGTATATCGATTAATCCACTCTGTGGTGCGTTTGTAGCAAGTAACGGGAAAAATGTGAATTTTAAAATTAAACCACTAATATGCAAGTTAATTTAATGCCTTTGTGTTTTTCTGATTTATATGAGGTTATGCTTATGAAAGTATGTGTCCGACTCTTTTCACGCATATTTTTGGTATATTAAATAACTTATTGTATCAATTTGTATACGGGTCTGTATTCGGTTGCTAAATATAAAATACATAGTATGTATGTATACATATGTGTAGTTTATACCAACTGCCTATATTTAAATATATATATTCATATATGTGTATATTATTATTTAGTTAAATGGTATAACACTTTTCTCTACTTGTTTTTTATAAACATTACTATGTATTTACTTTTACTAAAAATTGGTGTATATACTATAGCTGTAAACATGTACTGTACTTAGGTGTATGCAATGCTGCACTTGAATATACATATACATATGTATGCATTTGGAACCTGAGCTAGTCTATTTTCGCAGTAGAACCGAACAGAAAACTATAATATTCAAAAATAAATAAAACAAACAAACAAAAAAGGCGGCATATAACTACGTTTTCATTAAAACAGTTTCAATTTATTTAAATTACTATTTTAAATTATAATTTAAAACATGCATTTGAATTTAAACTATTTCATAATAATTAAAATAAGAAATTTATAGACGAAATGATACATTGAAAGTATTCGCTTTTGTAAAGCTGAAAGGCTCTCTTGTCCTTTTTTGTTGAAAATACACAATTTTCACAAATTCAATTAAAATTACATATTTGCATACACTAAAAATATACATAAGTATATATTAAAACAAGATAAAAAAAATTTAAGTTATTGATTTTCGCCACAATTTATCCCGATAAAAATTCTGCAAATCATAATTATACTAAACTAAATTCTAATTAACTAAACAACTATTTGACGGCACCGCCTGCGCTATCATCATCATCATAACGTCTAACCCTACCCTCTTTAATCACCGCTTCACTCGCACTGTCATTGTCACCTGATAAATTAACACCTCCAAACCCACCTCCGCCGCCTTCGACACCGTCACCGTCGCCACCCCCTTCATCAACTCCCATGTCTCATTGACGCGCCGAACGTTCCGTTTCCAAGAGGCACTCGCGCACAAGTATGCGTGCATGTACAATGCCACGCTTCAAACGCTCCGTCGAACTACGTGATCCTGTATATGTTGGCCTAATATCGCGACCCATCTCCTCTATTACCGCCAATAGCTGCGCATACTTGCTCAGGCCATTGCCGGCTGCTGATGTGCCCGCCGTAGGCAAATTGGCAGTGGACGTCATGGGCGTTGTTATGTTGGCCGATGTTTGCGTGGTTATGATAACCGGCGATGTAGATTGTGGATACTTTAGCTGTGACTGTGCTGCGTTGAGTATCGCTGCGGCGTTGCTGCCCACACCCAGCGCAGCACTAACACTCATGCCACCGTTGCCAACATTAGCAAGACCCATGCTACCTCCAGCTTTGCTAGCGGCAGCAAGACTATTTCCGCCACCGCTATTCCCTGCGCCACTATGGCCATGGCTACTTCCGCTGCTGGCACGTTGCGTCGAGGCGGGAGAGGCGATGGTATTCGATTGTTGTTGAAGAAGTGCCAGTTGCGCCTGCAACTGCTGCGTATATTGAAGGGCAGCTACCGCCGCAGCAGCCGAGGTGCTCGTCGATTGCTGATGATAATCACGTTCACGCTTGCTGTACAGGTCCCGTACGCCGCCACTTCCTTTGACACTGCCGCTCAGTACGCTATGATGCAGGTCAAGCACTGTGGTGGCTTTTGAAGAACTAGAACTTGCACCGCCGCTGCGGTCACGCGGATGATGGATAGCAGAGATTTGTATTTGCGGCTGTTGTTCGCGCTGCTCGCGTTGCTGTTGATAGTTGTAGAAATTTTGCACTTGTGAACGAGGTATTGGGGTCACCGTGACGTCACTCAGTTTAGACTCGACGGCTTGTATGTCCATGATATCCATTTCGATACTGGCAGCGTTTTGTGGCAAGTGTTCTACATATGAAATAAGAGCGAGAATACAACATACAACCTTATCAGTAATACTGTGCTGTTTTGATAATCAAATTCTTGCACTCACATTAGAAATCTGCAAAAAGAAAACAACGCGACCCACTTAAAATTGGAAAATGAAAATTTTCTTTTCGTTGCTCTCGTTTTTGTCTTTCCACGCAGGTAATTTTTTCTTTTTGCTATGAATTTTCGTTACGAATGTGTGGAGGAAAACGCAGTTACGTGAAAAAATGCAGCAAAGTTCTCTGATGAAGAGCAAAATAAGTGTGAGTTGGAAAATTAGAAGTGTTTGATTAAGTGGGGGCAAGCGAAAGCCAAAACGGCGCGAATGATGGCACAAAACAAAAACAAGAATGAATGTCAGAACAGGGATAGATCACAAAACTTCCACTGGAATGCACTACCGGACGTCACTGGAATACACTACCGGAAGTATAGGGTGGTAAACGCTGGTTTCACCCTGTTGCATTTGGTCCCAACCGATATTTGGTCCCATATAATATCCCATTCCTTGTAACTGTAATTCCCATTTCCAATTAATTAATTAATTACAAAAATTTACAAGATGTGGCATCATTTTTATTGGATCATTCTTTCATTACCCCATCTTCCGCAACAACAACAACGCTAAGTTGCTTGAATGCGGTCATTCGCGCCTTCACATCTTCCTACTCTTTCCCTCTCGCACACTATCAATGCATTGTCGAGATTTCCACTCAAATGCTTCAACTGCCATTTCGAATATGCGCTTTTCTTGTTTTTGCTTTTGAAGTTGTTTGTGCACTCGTTACTCGCAATTTTAGCCTAACCGTCGCATTATACTCGGTGACATCTGCTCATTTTTAAGTAAAAATTAAATTAAAAATTGTGAGTTTCACTAGTTTAGGAAATATTGATAGTAGATAAATGCAAAATTGTTAAAACTATATTCCGAAGTAGTTAGGAGGAGCTGTTCATTTACACCAGCAGTCAATTCCGCTTACAGTCATCTATACTCGTCTTATTTTCTTTGAGTGGCGTTGCTAACGTCTTGTTATTGATAAATGCCGTCATAGCATTCTACAAATATCGACCTTGCTCCTGCGAAGCAACTTTTTGCGTGTGGAAAATTATTTTGGTTGAGGTAGTGATTTTTGGTGTTTAAATTATTTGCAGCAATTTAAAAATCATTTTAGAAAAGTGCATTTTTCATGTTGCTCCTATTGCACATTCGCCGCTGGGTGTCTCCGTATTGCACAATTGCGGAAATTCAATCAGCTGAAAATGGATAGGGAAATTGCAATAAAAACGAAAAACATGCATACAAATCTCAATGTGGGTTGCCTTGTTTCAAGGCGTTCCGTGATGGATTTTCTTTTATCTGATTTTGTTAGTGAAACGTGAAATTCTTAAACTGCTATGAAATCTTTCGGTAGTTATTTTAATATTGACATGCCAAGAATGATACATCGCGTTGACACGCTCGGCGTACGAAAAAATAATTAAGAGGTCATTTAAGAGTGCCAGGTTAAATCCAGCACATTTATAATCATAAATTATTTTTTTATTTAAGGACATTCGGTTCGTTTCGTACATTCGTAAATGTATAGTTGACTTTACTGATCTTTACAACACTTATATTTGGTAGAAATGTCAACGTTTGCTTCAACAGCAGAATATTTTTTTTTTTTTACTTTTTGGCATTTAAAGGATATTTCCGTCAGATAAAAATAAAATCTTGAACTCTTTCGTTTACAGGAGAAAAAATCGTTTGCATTTTGCGTCAAAATTTATAAAAAGATTTACAAAAAAATCTAAAATTGCACTTTTCTATCTATTCTCTATTTTTCCCAATTTTTCTTTTCGAAACGTCTGCAACATTTTTTGTGCGCTGGAATTGGACAACACTGGGCAGCAGCGAACGGACAGAGTACAAAAAAAAAAAAACAAAAAGCTACGATAAGAAATTAGCGAAAAAGGAGGCGTACAACGAGTGCCAATTGCCGCTTCGAGCCTCGAATGTCAGTTGGATTTCGAATCGACAGCGATTTGACACGGTAGCAACAACAATTTACTCTGCGCTAGCAAAAAAACAATAACAACCACGGTAAACAGCCCAAAAGTCAGCGTAGAAGAACGAGTGCATACACTTGGAAACGAGCAACAATTCAGCGAGTGAATAATTCCGCCGGATGACCGCGCGTCGCGCAGCTGTTTTATATTGCCTACGTTTGCTGTTGTATTTGCTTGCAAAGCCATACACAGCCGCTGCCAAAGCAGCACAGTCGAGCTTAGTGAGTGAGTAATCGTCGCAACGGAAAAAAATCTTTAGTGAAACCCCCACGCTGAGGTGTTAAAACGATTTAAATCCAGTAGAAAGAGCTTTTCCAAGTAGGTAAATCAAGAAATAATTTAGTAGGAAGTCACATCAAGCATATAATAAAATATCGGAAAAAGAATTGAAGTGTTGGACGAAAAATTCGTCAGGAATTACGGTAAGTGCCCTTCCGTTTGCAGTCAGCCAACGCTTAAGGAATACTATAAAAAAAAGCGAGAAAAAAACGCTCAACTACATTGAAAAGTGCACACCACAGCCCCAAACGACAGAAGTAAAGCATTCTCAGCCGAAAAGCCAGCCATAGAAGCAATAGCAATAAGCTTATTCGAAGTTGCACAGCCGCAGACGTGGACAAGTTCCAACTCCCACAATGGAATACATTTCAGTTGGTCAGAGCGTCAAAATTAAGCGCACAGATGGCCGTGTGCACGCCGCAGTTGTGTCGAAAATCAACGAGTCTGGTAAATCGATCACGGTGGAATGGTACGAACGCAACGAAACAAAAGGCAAGGAAGTAGAATTGGACGCCATACTCGCATTGAATCCGGAAATTCTACAAGATCCCGAGCCGGAACAAAATGCCGCACCCGAACCGAAGAAGCAAGCGACAGCACCCATAAACCTGGCGCGCAACGCTACTCAAGGCGCCATCGGTCATCGCACCAATCGTGCTACCATCAACGCCACCAGTCTGCTCTCTTCGTCTGCTGTCTCGGAACACTCGGAGAACATACCGCCGCCACCGACTACAGGTATAGTGCGCTCGCGTACCACCAACAATGCAACACGTCTAGCCTCTGCTGCTGGGAGTGGCAGCGCTGGGGGTGGTGGTATTGCCATGAGTACCAGTGCCGGCAATTCATCTTCGATTGCGTCCAGCTCGGTGGCCGGCAATGTGGGCGGACGTCGTTCCTATGTGGTCAAAGAAGTCGAGCGACTGAAGGAGAATCGAGAGAAGAGGCGTGCACGTCAAGCTGAAATCAAAGAGGAAAAGAATGCGCTCATGAATCAGGATCCGGGAAATCCCAATTGGGAGACAGCGCAAATGATACGTGAATACCAGAGCACTTTAGAATTTAATCCACTTGTCGACGGGCAAGTCTACGAGGATCATCAAATAACAGTATGCGTACGGAAGCGACCACTTAGCCGGAAAGAGGTTACACGTAAGGAGATCGATGTGATTTCGGTGCCGCGCAAGGACACGCTCATCGTGCATGAGCCACGCAACAAAGTCGACCTAACAAAATTCCTCGAAAATCATAAATTCCGCTTTGATTACGCATTCGATGATCACTGCGACAATGCCATGGTCTACAAGTGAGTACTTATATACAAATAGATCTACAGATAAGTAAATGTACATACATACATATATTGTATGTATGGATTTAACGGCTGCTACCTACTAACACTTATTTGACATATTTTGTACACATATGTACATTAAAAGCCGGACAATCGAAATTGACAAGGCTTTGTGTAGCGTGGATATAGCAGGTTTTGACTGCAAAACATAGACTTTTGTATATGCTTGCTTGCACTAAGCCTAATGTATGTATATATGTATGTACATATGTCTGCAAATATGCACATATAGAGTTACGTAGCAAGTTTAGTTAATGTCTTGGCAGCTGGACGGATCACTGACTTCACCATTGCCTTCACTTAAACATTCAAGTAAATCTTGGGGCTCAGGGGGTTTGTATGTATGCCTGTGTACTGACTTTGTCGTTGTCTCCATATGTTCTTTGTTTACTAATGCCATAAACGCTGACTAACCAAGCAACTGGTTCAGCAATAACTCCATACAAATGTATGTACATAGATACAAACATATTTTATTTTGTTTAGATTTTTCGTGCTACCTTATAGAGCTACAAATAAGATTTTAAATGCTTAATGCTATTAATTTAACTTGCAACATTTTCCAAACTTTCCTTCTGCGCCCAGTGCATGAAGAGTAGCGGCGGTAGAGCAACCGCTGGCGCAGACATGCTAGTTGAAAATTTCGTTACTCATTTTGGGTGTGCTGATTGATGTAGCTAGTTACTGTAGTTACTGGTAAAAAACAAAAAAATAAAAATGTGAAAGCTAGAACGGCAGTAAAAGGCGAAATAAGAAAACAATGCAATCAAAAAATAAAATAGAAAGGCAGGCAGTCAGCGCTTTGTAGCCACTTCTATTTCACACAAATTTATTGTAATATATTTGTATATACAGTTTAAATTAAAAAAAAAAGTCAGTTGCGGTGCTGCACAAGAGGTTGGCGCTAATGCTCTTGCCATCGCGACCACCACTTTTCCAGCATTTTTGGCTTTTCAGTAATATGCGGTTTTTGTCGAATGCATTTTCTTAATTTTTCTTTTTTTTGTAAGAACAACACAAAACCAACATGCACAAACATGCATATATGTATGTATGTATGCATACATATGTAGTTTATATTCAAAAATTTTAGCAGTTTTGTAGGGTTGTGCCACGACTATTGGCAAAGTTTGCGCTTGCGGTTTTGATTTTAGCCGTTGCTGCTTCACAATCATTCGCTTGCTACTAAAAATATTTCGTGGCAACCGCTTGAAACCACTTTTAACCAGTTCTTTTCATTATAACTTGGCTTCTATTGGCAACGTAAAAAAGATTTTGCTTTTTGGTCAAGTTGATGCATGCGAAAGGAAAGGAGTAACGAAAAATCTTTAGCTATTAGCGTAGTTTGCGGGAAATTTTAAATATTTAAAATTTGTTTCATTTGCTGAGCAGTGAGATATTTGCACACTTACCACAAAAAATTGCTTTACTCCGGCCTGCGATAGCATTCGTTTACATGCACCAGCCATTAGTAATATTAGCTTTTATTGCAAATATTGATGCCGATTTTTCAATATGTGAAATGAGGTAAATTCGAAGAGAGCCAAGCAAAAAACACTTCGGCAGAACAATTTTTACTCTTAACAATTTATATGCGCATATGAGCCAAAGAGTTTCGGAACTATGCAAATGTTATTAGTTTTTTTTATTGCTAGGCTAAGACAGCTGTCTGCTTAAATTAAAGCATTTTTATTATTATTTACCTGGCCCTGTTTAATTTCCTCGTTTCATTGCATATGTTTGTAGAAAAAACATGAGTAATGATGCAGTTTAATAATTGACGAATGGAATCTATTTTTTCTTATCAATTTAACTCTTTAGCGCACACACTTAATCAGCGATGCCATTTATAGATCGTTAGTTCGACGTTAATTTCATTATTATGTTAATGAAAGATTTTAAAGTTCGGCAAAAGAACTCTTGTTGGAGAAACCAGCCCTAAGAAGTTGATTATTTTTTTCCAGTTCAGTGCTCTTCAGTTCAGTGTTCAGAGGTTTCATTCCTTACCGTAATATCGCACATAACCACAAACCCACCCGTTCAGGTGTATCATATATTAGTTTTGCACCTATCGGTTTACCATTTTTCAGGCAATCGTATAAATTTTCCGCTGATTCAAACCGAATTAAGGCGGTGCAGTAATTTTGACAAGTGATTAATCGTTGCATTAGTATGTGCACTCCTATCATCCTTATCTTACAAGTCAGCCACCATATTCCTTCTTGTCATATCATAACTGCGATTAGTTACATATTTTTACTACATATGTACATATGTATTTACTCCAAATGCTTTAAATTTTGATGCCATATCGTATTCCAAATAGGTACACTGCTAAGCCCTTAGTGCAGACAATTTTCGATGGTGGCATGGCGACATGTTTCGCTTACGGCCAGACGGGCGCCGGAAAAACACACACCATGGGCGGCGAATTCAATGGCAAAGTGCAGGACTGTAAGAATGGCATTTATGCAATGGCAGCACGTGACGTTTTCACTTTTTTGAAAAGTCCACGTTATCGTGCGCTCAATTTGGTTGTGTCCGCTAGCTTCTTTGAGATCTACAGTGGAAAGGTAATGCATGTGAAATGCTTATATACGCTACATATTTATATATTCGCAATCGTTTATTATATTATAATTTTCGCATGTACACAGGTCTTTGATTTACTCTCTGACAAGCAAAAATTGCGCGTACTCGAAGATGGCAAGCAGCAAGTGCAAGTTGTGGGCTTGACTGAGAAGGTCGTCGATAGTGTCGAAGAAGTGCTCAAACTCATACAGCATGGTAATACGGCGCGCACCTCAGGTCAAACGTCGGCCAACTCTAATTCATCGCGTTCGCATGCCGTTTTCCAGATTGTTTTGCGCCCGCCGGGTTCAACAAAAATACACGGCAAGTTCTCATTCATCGATTTGGCTGGCAATGAACGTGGTGCCGACACATCTTCGGCCAATCGACAGACACGTATGGAAGGCGCTGAAATTAACAAGTCACTGCTGGCGCTCAAAGAATGTATACGAGCGTTGGGTAAACAATCGGCTCACTTGCCATTCCGCGTATCGAAATTGACACAGGTTTTGCGTGACTCATTTATTGGTGAGAAGAGTAAGACGTGCATGATTGCGATGATATCGCCAGGGTTGAGTTCATGTGAACATACATTAAATACGCTCCGCTATGCGGATCGTGTCAAGGAGCTGGTGGTTAAGGATATGCCGGATATGATGCGAGAAGGTGATGGAGAACATGCCATTATGGAGGAGGACGAAGATCAAATGGTCGTACAGAATAATCGATCACATAATCACAATATTAACAATAACAATAATAACAACAAGAACAATGGACAAATGTCGGAGAACGATTTGGCGTTATTGCGATCGCTAAGTGTGAGTTTTAGCCAAAAATTCAAATCTTCGATTATTTTTGTTACAATTTTAAATATAAAAAAAAAAAAATCTATTTTTTACAGGAACACGATATGTCCGATGAGTTGCTCGTGCAACATGCAGCTATTTCCGATTTGCAGCAACACGAAGAAATGGTAGTGGATCAGCATCGTTTAGTCAATGACTTTCTGTCACAGTTTTTGCCCGAATCCCTACGGCTGTACGATCTTACCAATTATGTTGATTACGATCAGGATGCCTACTGTAAGCAAGGCGAAGCGCTTTTCACACAACTTGCCGAATTAGCAACTAGTTGTAGAGACTTAATGGCCGATTTTCGGGCTAAAATGGCCAAGGAAGAGATGTTGTCGTGCACTGTTAAGCCCACAGGCGGTAAGCGCTAAGTGGTTGGCTACTAAATAGAGAGCGAAATGCACATTAAAAGCAACTACATTTATAATTATATGAAAAATAATACATTTAAAATCCAGAAAAGCGATGTTAATGCACAGCATAGCAGTGTTGAATGACAGCAGTAGAAAAAAAAATTAAGAAAGATTATGATGTTGAATACCAGCTACAACAACAGCAACAATATAGAATCGCAACAACAACAATTAACTGATAATACGTATAAAAAGATACAAAAATACTCTAAAAGAACTAAAGTAACGCAACCACATCACCAACACAGCAAGTAACAAACAAAAAAATATATCGAACACCGCATTTTCGAGATGTACCTAACCTGAAGGTGGTGGGCGTAATATTCATTTATGGTGTTTATATATAAGCATTTGCAAATGCATACACATCAACACTACGTTTATTAGACGCGCAACAGCAGTTGTCTGCAACAATAATCTTAATCATTCTTTTTCGAGTGCACACGGGCATGTACTATGTATTTCAATTGTACGCTGTAAGCTTATTTTTGTATAAGTTTCCCAAAAGCAAACTTTGTAAACTTTGTGTATGTGTCGAAAAAGCGAAGTCGTGCGTATTAGACATCAAAGTCATGCAGACAGCCGCATCACTTGCATTACATCTGTTTCTTGTGGTGCCTAATTAACCAGACACTAATCTCAAAAGCGATCATCAACAATCAAAAACTACCGCCACGCACTAAGCTGTCGTTCAAGCTAACAGCTAGCGCAGCGCTCATCAATTGTCAGCAGCAGTATAATGCTAACTGGCATCTGCAACACATTTCTAGCGCATATTCTACTAACTTTCATCTAGCCAACGCGTCACAATCTCCTCAAATCTCACCTCATTCACTCCACACGCACACATGTAGTTGTTATATACCATTACTATCGATGCCCAAGTTGGCTGATTGATATACGCATGCGGAGTTAAGACGTTGTGTGGACTTGGACGTTGATTTAATGTTGATGATAATGATGTTGAAGTTGAATGCATATTATAATTTTAATAATAATGTTTCGTCTTTTATCTTCCTAAGCTATTTATTTTTTGAATTTAATATTTTTTTATACTTACATGGAAAAACGGCATGACAAAAACATAACCACAAATTGTGAACCTAAGAAATTTATAGAAAACGCAAGTATTAAGAGATGCTTCATCATCGAACGTTGTTGTAGGGAAAGTCCCAGTATGGGCACTTGAAATCAAAAGACCATTTTAATTATAAAAAGATGCTATATGGCAGCGAAATCGCATAAGCAATGATAAGCAAACACTTATTATATATGTGTGTGCAAAACAAAGGGACATTTTTCTGCCATATAGTTGTATTAATCCAATGTATTAAACTATCTATACAATGCGTATTTATATGTATTTAAAAAATGTACGCCAATAATCTTTTAATTGTAGCCTACGCCCGCCCTATGCATCATTTTCACTTTTTTTGTTATGTAAGCCTTTGTACAACGAACCACACAAGCAATCTTACGCACATGTCGTCCTCCACCCGCACCTTATCGCGCTGAGATAATCCTACACTTGCTTTTCTTTATTGAAATTATTTTGTTTTGAAAATTTATAATTTGGTTACACAGAAAAATGTTTTCTTTAAACGGTGCGCCAATCTTCCAGATTTTTAAACGCACACATGTTTTTTAACCTTGTTTTGGCTACTCTTCCTCTCTCATTCATTTGCGTAATTTGCCAAATTCTCTAAACCCCTTAAAAACACTTACTTGCTAAAAAGACATTTAAAAAAAAAAATAATTCCGTAATAATTCCGCAAATTTTTTTTTCAAGAATTTAGAAAATCGGCACCAAGCATAAATCAAAAAACGCCACCAGCAATACTAACAATAACAAAAACAACACCACCATTTCAAACCACAGCCGCTCCCTCGCTGGAGGAGTAGCGCAATTATATCTACAATGTATTTTTAAGCTAGCTGCACGCGCAATTAAGTAAATACATATGTATGTAGTAGATCGGGTAGAGTGAAAATTACTACAGCAAAATTTGAAACAAAAATTTCAAATAAATTTAATATGAATTGTGCGTTTGTAGCACGCATTTTTGTGCTCCGCGCCGCAGCCGCAGCAGCAGCAAACAATTACTACTACTACTACTACAATATTATACTTACTATATTAAAAAAAAAACGTTTGCAACAATAAAAGCAACAAAAACAACAAATAAACATGTATCGTATTGTTTGTTGATTTTCTTAAGCTTATCGCGTATAGCGGAAAAATTTATATTACCAACTACAAAGAAGTGCTTCAAAAATAAAAGAATAGAAAAGAAAGAGAATTTCCTTGCAAAATTTGAATGAGAAACGTATTTAGTAGCATCTAATATTTAAATTATATATACACGTAAACAAAAACTAAAGAAATCGATAAAAGTAAAAAAATAAAAAACTTTAAAAATTTAAATTAACAAATTAACAATAAAGTGTGTTGTGTTTTATGTTATTGTAGAGCACGGGAGGAGGTGAATGGCAGGCGGGAACTCCGAATTACTTACAAAGCGCAGCAAAGGCTGTGACAACCAAAAAAAATCCCAGTTTTTGAGAATTTTGCCGAGGTGACAGCAGTTCCGGCTACGACACCAATACATTGTGTAAACGCCAATCTATTCCTATTATTAAACTTATGAGTAACTTTGACGAAAGCCCAACGGATGTGCAAAAAAATAAAGAAACTGCAATCTTCGCTTAAAACATCAATTCCTAATTTATAATATTACAACGAATTCGATTGCTCATTCTAAAATACCATATCGGCGCTTTCCTCTGCCACACCTATCACATAATCAGTCCCATAGATGGCTTGCGTATCGCCATCCTCATCGTCCACAATTAAAATACCATCGATGTGTTCATCCTCGTGGATTTCCAAAAAGTCGCCATCGTCTTCGATCGTCAGCTGCTGGACGTCGTGGATCTGCTCAGACGCAATTTGATAGCCATCCGTCTCGCTATACTCGCCCTCTTCTACCAAATCTTCCAAACCACTCGTATTGTATTCAGGTTTTTGATGTACTTTGTAATGGGTCTAAAAGGAGGTAATGTATATGTTTAATCAATAAGCATTCGACCGTGATTTTTACAACAGCTTACGATCAAGTGATGTTTTCGTCGAAAACGTTTTACACAGAACTCGCACTGGAAGCGTCGTTCACTGGTATGTATGGTATGTTGGTGAATGCGCAGGGTCGAGGGCGAAATGAATTTCTGCTTGCATTCCGGACACTCGAATGACTTGCTGGTATGCGAGTAACGGTGCATTTTGAGATGTTGCAGTATGAGAAAGTCCTTGCCTGAAAAAAAAATATATATAAATTTATTGCCACAAGTCTATTTTCGTCAAATGCTTACCGCATATCTCGCATTCGTACGGTCGTTCACCTGTATGCGTGCGCATATGCACCGTTAAGTCGTGCTTGGACAGAAAGGCCTTCTCACAAACCGTACACTTGAAATTGCGTACATTATTATGCCGATCCATGTGATAGCGATAGTGCACTTTTTGATTGAATGTACGCTGGCAGAGATCACACTTATAGGCCGGTTCGCCGCCATGTAGACGCAGATGCACGCGCAATGCATCGTTGGTGTGTAGCAATTTGGAACAGAAGGGACACGGAAATTTATTGGAATGCACAGTTTTGCTGGAATCGAAAAGAAAAGTTTTAGTATAATAGACTGAAAGTGCTGCATTTGAACATACCGGTGTTGTAGAAAATCCGTGCGTCGCAAAAATTCCAAACCGCATGCTTGGCATTCATGGGCACGCCTTATGCCACCGCCTTCAGGCTTTGGCCTCTCTAGTGCATTTATTGGCAGACCGCTGTTCGTATCTTCCAGGTAATGCACATCGAAAAATTCGACTGCTTCCTGTTTTAGCCCATGTTGCCCTTGACTCGAATTGTCATCAAAAAGCGACACGAACTCAATCTCTTTTGTATCGCTTGAAGATTTAATATCCGTATGCTGTGGCGGCTGGGTATCTAGCTCCGGGGTAGCAGTATAATACAGCCCCTCATTGCCGTCCAAAGCCACCACTTGTAGTTCGTTTGGAACTTCATTGGATTTCTCTTTCATAAGCACTAATTCAGCGTTCGCCACTTCATTTGAAAAAGTCTCCGGTTCTAATGTAATTGGCGCATAGGCTTGTCCATTATCGTACTCTGTGCCATTTGGCATGTGTTCCGCTACATTTGTATCTTTCAGTATGGACTGAATAACAGCGTTTTCGTCACTGGTCATAGAGGGTAAACCATTTTCGAGAAATTCTTCTCCGAGTATAATTGTATCATGATTAGCTTCTATGGCTAGATGTGACATTTCCTCGCAATTCTGTGTCATATTTGCATCCTTATTACCCGCATCAGGATACATTTTTGCCAGCTCTTCTAGTGTACGTCGCGCTTTCATAGTCAGTTTACGAAATAGCCGCATTTGTAAATCACAACTATTGCACAGGTATTGTGGGTAGAGCTCCATGGTTGATGCATCAATCTAAATTTGAGCGTAGTTGTAACCGTTTTCATTGCAAAACGAAATCATTTGTATGTAGCCTACATACCTGAAAGCCCAACATTTCTTCGTACAACTTGCCCGTGGTCGTCAGCTGCCATGTGTGCGAATGCATAACGCCATCTTCTTCTACCACTTGCACCACATAGAGGCATTCGTAGTCAGCATCCTGATTTGGACTGCGGCAAACGCGACAACTATTTACCACTTCCTCTGCTTGGACCATTACATCTAAATTTTCCCTAATATTTGTTTATAAACAATTGTCGGGAATAAAAATACACAACTTTTATTTTCTGCTTCTTCCTGGCATACGAGTCTCGTACTGCGACGAAAAGTCAAATGAATGGAGAGCAGTGTTGCCGCTTTATTTTACCACGCCCTTTTTTTT